GGACAACTTATCTGAGGAAGGCCTGTCACCATCCATTTATCATGTAGCGTCTTCAAACCTTTAAAATTCAGATGACCATAGCGTAAATGCCACAACCATGCTGGATCATTGACCTTGGCAGAGAAACATTTAGGACCATCACTTTGAATATGTAATGGAAACATTCGATTTGTCGTCATGTAAGCCTTAGCAATTAAGCCCCTCTTTTGGTTATGAATTTGACAAGCTCCTCCTGTAATCTTGATCTCAAATCCCTTTTCATGTAGTTGTCCCAAGCTCAGCAAATTGCTCTTCAAACTCAAAACAAAGAAAACACTAGATATAGTATGGACAGTGTTATCTGTAGCCCAAATTTTTATATCTCCTTTTCCCAAAACAGAAACTTTGTTGTCATCTCCAAATCTTACTGTAGCTGTGAAACTTTCATCAAAGGTAGAGAAAATTGACTTTTCTCCACACATGTGATTATTGCAACGTGTATCCAAGTACCACACATTCTTTTGTGGTTTTTCCATGGTTTGACACACCATTAGAATAGCCTTGTCATCTTCTTTCTCTTTCTCTGCAAAATTCGCCCTTGCACCCTTTGCTTTATTCATATTTTTGTAACATTCAGACCTGTAATGACTATAATTGCCACGCCTGAAACACTCGAAATTTGATTTGTCAACATTCGAATCATGATTGTATGACTGCCTTCGGCCTCTGCTGCTGTTGCCTCCAGAATTATAATAGCCTATGCTGCTACTGCCAGAATCATGAGTGTCTTTGCTGCCGGAATCATCATTGGATTTGTTCCCATCTCTGCTACCTTGACCTCTTCCATGGTTACCGCCTCTACCATGTCCTCGTCCACGACCACCACGACCTCTTACTGCCGGAGAATCACTATTTGTTGAAACTTTGAACGTATGTTCCTCAGATGTACTTCGATTAATCTTCTGCTCATGAACAAGCAAGGAACTTTGCAGCTCATCAATTGAAAGCTTCTCAATGTCATTTGACTCCTCAATGGAGCACACAACGTAATCAAACTTTGTAGTCATAGATAACAGGATCTTTCTACGATGGTCACGTCTTTCATCTTCTCGCCATGGATACTCATCTTGTTTGCAATTGCCATTTCTTTTGAAAAATAATCATTGACAGACTCTCCTTGTTTCATCTGAAGAGTCTCAAAATCTTTCCTTAGTGCTTGCAGCATTGAACGCTTCACCTTCGTTGAGCCCTAGTACTTCTTCTTCATGGAATCCCAAATTTGCTTGGAAGTATCTTTTTGGAGAATGGTCTCCAAAATGGAACGATCAATAGCTTGGAATAAGTAATTTTTCGCCTTCAAATCTTTCAGCTTGGATTCATCCAATTTCTTTTGTTGTAGCTCCGTCAACACCACTCCACTTTCCGGCTATACAATACCGGTTTCCATGAGAGTCCAGTATTCTTTAAACCTTAGGAAATTCTTCATCAACATGCTCCAATGATCATAATGCCCACGAACTGTGTACCATTGTCGGTGACTATCGATTGCGAGCAACCGAATCTGCAAATAATGTTCCTCCAGATGAACCGTTCAACATCGGCCTCCTTGGTAGAAGATAAAGCCTCGGCCTCGATCCATTTGGTGAAGTAATCAGTGGCAACGATCATCATCTCTTTGTTGGCAGGTGCCGTCGGCATAGGTCCCACCAAGTCAATGGCCCACTGCATGAATGGCCATGGACTGTTCTGCGGATGGTATTCCTCAGCGGGCAGGCCAGGGACCGGCTTGTAGCGTTGGCATCGATCACATCTTCGAGCATACTCCGTGGAGTCTTGGCGCATGGTAGGCCAGAAATAGCCGATGCTGAGAGCCTTCTGGGCAAGCGATCTAGATGAGGCCCGGAGTATGATCTGCGGATAAGCATGTCGCCTTTTATGTAGTATCTTGCAGCCTTCTGCTTGATTTTTTTTGGCCTCGGACTTGTCCTTGGGTAGGTTTTCATTCACTAGGTAGTCAATAATTGGGTCTTGCCAGCTAGGATCCTCATCGATCTGCATCAGGTCCGGCTGCTCTGCCTCTTCTATGCTAGGCTGGTGAAGGTGCTCGACCGGGATGGAGCGTCTGAACTGGGTATCCAGCGCCGATCCTAAGCTTGCCAGTGCATCTGCGTGCGCGTTCTCTGCTCTGGGAACTTGCTGGATGGTGAAGGTGGGAAACTCCTTCAACAACTCTTGGACTTTGTCAAGGTACAAGATCATCCTTGGGTGCTTCGCCATGTACTCTCCTGAGGCTTGACTTGTGATCTATTTGGAATCTGAGTAGATGGCCAGCTTTTTGATTGATAGCTCCTTTGCCAAGCACAAGCCAGCGAGCAATGCCTCGTACTCTACCTCGTTGTTTGAAGCCGGGAAGCCAAGCGTGATAGCTTGCTCTAGCAGGGTTCCATATGGGGTAATGATGACGACGCCTGCTCCAGCTCCTTTCTGGTTCGACGCTCCGTCTACGCGCAACTGCCACATGTCTCTGGGTTGGTCAGGTTCAGTAGAGGTCTTGTCTGCTCTCGAACTTTCCTTCTTTTTGCTGACCAGCTTCTCTTCTTCGGCTAACGGTATGAATTCTGCAACAAAGTCTGCTAAGGCTTAAGCTTTTATTGCAGTCTTCGGCCGGTAAAGGAGGTCGTATTGGCTTAGCTCTATAGCCCACTTCATGAGTCGCTGAGAAGCATCAGGGCTGTGGAGGATTGATCTCAAAGGAAAGTCGGTCATGACGATGACTCGATGAGCTTGGTAATAAGGTCGCAGCTTTCTCGCAGAAACCACAAGGGCCAAAATGAGCTTCTCCAATTTCGAGTAACGAGTCTCTGCATCGAGGAGAGGTTTTGACGTGTAGAATATCGGATGTTGGGCCCCAAGTTCTTCTCGGATGAGAGCTGAGCTCACGACCGAGTTGGACACTGCCAGGTACACGAACAAGTCTTCACTAGGAACTGGCTTTGAGAGCAAGGGAGGTGAAGTAAGGTAGGTCTTTAGACTATGGAAAGCTACTTCGCACTCTTCGTCCCATTTGTCTTTTTTTCCTTTCTTCAAAGTTTTGAAGAATGGTTTGCACTTGTCGGTAGATTTTGAGAGGAATCTGTTAAGGGCCGCTGCTCTGCCCGTCAGGCATTGTATTTCCTTCACTGTGGAAGGCGACTTCATCTCGAGAATGGCTTTGATTTGGCGCGGGTGTGCCTCGATACCTCGTTG